AACCTCGGCATCAGCCTTATACCGGGCCACCATTTCAGCAGCTTCGTACTTGGCCACGTCGACCTCTGACTTGGTCATTTTAAGCTCCTCGACCAGATTATCTCGATCTCAGACTATCAAACCGAGGCGAGATTGGAGCTCTTCAACCTTTTTTGTCTGAACCTCGACCCTTTCCTTTGCCGCTCTTAGCTGGATTTCAGTCGAAGTTAGTTGTGCCCGAATAACCTATTTTTTCGAAGCCAAACGATCCATTTTGTCTCTCCATTCATTGGTCTCATCTTTGACTATATCCATTTCAGCTCGGAGCTGAGCAATCCAATCGAGTTTTTGCTGCACCTGCGGATTTTGACCATCAGTCACTGATTCAAATTCATCATCACTTACTTCGAAAACTTTTACCTGATCGACCAAGTCAGCATGATCCTTCCAGGCCTCTTCTAGCTCGGCACAGAGGTTCTTAGTCTCCCCTTCGAGCTGCTCACTAAGAAGTTTAAAGGCGTCTCTCTTATCAGTAAGCTCTCGAACTCCAGCTTCGAGTTGTTTCAGGTTATCCCGGTACCTAAAAAAGCTTCACGATGAAGCACCGAAGCTTACGAACAAGAAAATAAACGTTAAGTCATCTGCGAAATAATCTAAGTGTAAATCAAAAATTCACTTAGGAAAGTAGAAACTTACCCGGTTCAGCACCTGTTACGCTTCGATCTCGTTCATCTTAGCTTGATCATCTGGCACCGAAGATAGCTGGCCACCCCTACGTGGGCGGAAAGAACTGATGCATTTTCGATCAGGATATGCACTCGGGGCAGGAAATCGATCGACCAATTTCTGGCTCGATGAAGGCCCGCTTGCCTTTGAGGGCAAGCTCTTCCTCAGTATCTCTAAATCACCAAATCCAATGGCGTCCTCAGTGGTCGTCGAATCCATACCGTCGAAACACCCACGGAAGGGGTCGTTCGATCTATGGGCCCCCTCGATGGGGCATTCTTTTGCTACTTGGTCCTTGTTAAACAATGATTCTATGAACGAGGGCGACTCGACAAACTCTATCAGGCCAAGTGCTTCCTGCGGGGCTTTTCCCGCATCTCGGGAAGCCTCAGCTCCTGCCTCCACCTCGTCCTCCCCGACATGATGAAAATTGGCCTCACCTCCACCTGGTTCGGAGGCCCATTGCCCTTCGAGCTGTGACGACATACTGGCCACCAGGTCAAAGGCTTCTCCTTCCCCCTCGGACTCATCCCTCAATCGATAGAGTGAGTCTGGGGACAGTGCTCGACCATTGGTGCTTCCCTTGGGTTTAGGCGCCAATATTTTCTTTGGCCTCTTCTTCTCACGGCCCGGAGAACTCGGAGCCTTTTTCCTTTTCTTCTCTTTATCCTGCCCTAAGGCAGGGGGCTCGGTGAAGATATCGATATCATCGGATGGAGGCCTCATCTCGACATCTTTTGGTAAACCTGCAAAAAAGAAGTGAAAGCAAGTCAGAAATTGATAGCGCGAAAGGGAAATCAAAGTCACTTGAGAAAACTCTTACCATGGGAACTGGCCTCCCATCGGCCCTTCGAGAGCTCGCGCCACGAACACTCAGAATAAATCTTTGTTTCACGATGCCCTCGACCCATTCCTTAAGTCGAGGAATCGCATCCGGCATCCGAGCAACAGCTGCACCACCACAAAATATAGATGAGAGAGAAGGAAAAGAGAAGAGCAACGAACAAAATCTTAAAAGCGAGCTTATACTTACGTTTCATATTCCATTTCTCAGAAAATGGCATATGCTCGGCTGGGATCAAATCCGAGGTCTTCACTCGGACAAAATGACCTAACTGGCTTCGGTCAGAATCTTTATCGATGCTGAAAAATAGAGCCTTACTTGCCCGAAGGGCCAGCTTAATCAGTTCACCTCGATAAAGTCGGGGGCTATACAAACGCATAAAATGATCGATGGTAAAGGGACACCCCTCGGTCTTGCTCGCGAAGAAGCGGAGGAGAATTACTATCCTCTAGAACGAAGGATGAATCTAATCGAGGGTCACCTCGTACCTCTTACAGAAGGCGATGATGACCGGATCTAAGGTGCCCAACGTGAAGGAGTAAATGTAAACACTTAAAAAACCCTCCACATGAGTAGTAATCGCTTCCTCGGGCGTAGGGATCACTACGTGCTTATCAATCCAGTTACAGTCTTCCTTGACCTTGGCAAGGACACTATCGGTGATCGAGCATATATATCTCGAGACCGGTTCACACCGGCCCGGTACCGAGGAGGTTTTCTCTACCTTAAAATTAACTCCAGTTGGGCACCCCGTAGGGACAAACATTTGCAGAGGAGGTTCTGGTGTCGGTTCCTCGGCAGCGGCAAACGAAATATTTTTCTCAACAACCGGTCGCGAAGCAGAGGGAGTTTCTTTTTGGGGAACAAATTTTGAAGTCTTTACTGTTGCTTTTAAATAGTGAAAAAGTGGAGAAAGGAGGATGATAATGAAAGAGAAGGTATGGTTGGCAGATGAGCAACTTTTACGGAAGTTTTCAGAAAACCAGAAGGGAAGAAGTTTGAATGTAAGCCAGAAAACCAGAAAGTGAGAGTGATGAAGTTTCTTAAAGCACAAGAACAAAGAGTTTGAATGTATAGTTCAAATGAATAGATGAGAGGGTATTTATAGTTTTCCAAACGACGGTTCACATCTTGGAGTGGCCGACCATTAACTAACACACATTTAATGCCTAAAAGACTGGACCGATGGGAAGTTTCAACTGTTCTTATCGCTTACGTCATGATTTTGCTGCTTACGTCATGATTTATCGAAGAAGAAATCGGGTACTCACATCATTTCTCATCATTTACTCTCCGAAAAATGATGAGACTATCTGTATACGGGTAAAATCGAATTCAGGATTTGACCGAGCATCCAACATGATAATTTGGGATCTAGAGATGGTGATAAAATCCTGAAGATCGGTTCCTGCCTTACCGAATTAGCCATCAGAACCACCAACTTGCCTTTGAGTTTATCGAGGTCATAACGAGTCCTGGTCATAACAGTTTCAAGGAATATATTGCCAGCTTATCCGACAGGAGTCCGAAATTCCCGTAACTAACAGGGCATTACGGCGAAAATCACGGAACATACCAAAAAAGGGACCAATGATCAACAAATCAAGGACCTTTTTACCTTTTATGAAATAATAATAGAATAATACCTTAAAAAGTAAGTTCCCCTAATATACAAAGGGGGTCCTCACAATTCATGGAAGACATTGTAACATACACTCATAAGCAATATATTACTGTTATCCTCTAGATTCTTATTCTTTATTATCTTGATGTCAATCAAAGTATATGCAACTCAAGGGTGGTGAGCTTTCCTAGGCCGAAATTACCCAATCCGTGTGGTTTGTAGTTAATTTACCGTTATTTATTTCATTTGCAATCTAATTTATCATTCAGTATCAAGTTAATCCGCATATCCTTTAAACCACTAACAAATTCAATTGTTATCCGATTTTGAGGGTAAACAAGAATTAATACCAAACAGTCAATAAAATATAATACTAAAATAACTAATCCGAATATAATTATTCTTAATATAACTAATCCATCATAATTTATCTTCAACTACCAAACGGCCCCTTAGAGATAGATTAATCCTTGATATTAGAGTACTCCTTGTTTGGCCACTCAAATTATACTACTCCAAGCTCTAAAATCTAGATGTCCATTCCTAAGCATCGATTAAGTAGGCGAGTTTTAACCTTCTTATACGATTTTAAATAACCCTCAAAGATGGAGCTACTTTTTGAGATTAAGTTAAGCTTAAGATCTTATTTTCAGCTTACTTCATAGGTTTTTCTTGTCAAAGAAAATTCAAATTTTTACGTTCAGATTAAGGTTTGGACATATTGTATAAAAAAAGTTTACAGATACAAATGTTATTGTTATTTCTAAGATGTTTTTTTATAGTTACCTACTTCCACAAAAAAAACTATAACCAAAAAAACTTTTTTAAAACCCCTTTTGAAATCCTGTTCAAACAAATATTATCTAATGCATGCTTTTTCCCAGCCCATGTGAGGAGCTATATCCCCAGAAGACACTGACTCATATAACCAACCATTTTTTGCACTAAAATACAGAAAACACCATCTTTGCCGGTCAATATACACCCTCTACAGTCTCCTCTCCATGTCCTCATAATATTATGATATTCAAATTATACAATATCAGTTTATACTTTACGCCACTTTCCTTATATATAGTGCTTATTAGTGAGTTCAGTTTCTTTCCCTTTCTGCAATTTCCTTTTTTTCCTATGTTGTTTAATTCCGCCAGCCTTAAAGGTAATAGTATCTTTCTTTACTCCTTACAACCGCAGTAAATTTCCAGACAGGCGCAGCTTTTTTCTTAGCGTGTGTTTCAGGCAAATATATATTAATGTTCCAAAAAAGGGGGTGTTTTTTCCTTTAAGGTATCATGAGTGGTTTTTTTCAGGATCTGAGTTTCAGAGGAAAAACTTTAAATGGGGTGTCTTTAAATTTTTTTCTTGATTTTGTGGAATTAGTAGGAACAAATTGCATTGGTTTTTCAATCTGAAATTTTTGTCAATTTTCAGTGTCACTTGCTTAGTTTTAGATTGAAAAGGTACTGGCTTTTTGGCCTCTTTTCGCTCATTAGTGAAAATCTATAAAAGGGTTGTTTGAAAGATTGTAGTTTGTTGATTTGGATGCGAGTTTTCCTCTAAAAAATGGCATCATTTTGTGGTTTAGGTATTAGTTTGAGTTTTGTTTTTGGATGTATTCTCATGGGGAGTCTTTAAAGATTTTCTTGATTTTGTGGAATTAGTAGCAAAATTTGAAGTTTTTTGTCAATTGTCAGTGTCACTTGCTTAGTATTAGATTGGAAAAGTACTGGCTTTTCAGCTTCTTTTTGCTCACTAAGGAAAATCCAGAAAAGGGTTGTTTTCAAGATTGTAGCTTTTTGATTTGGATGTGAGATTTCCTCTAAAAAGATGGCATCTTTTAGTGGTTTAGGAATTGGTTTGAGTTTTGTTTTTGGATGTATACTCATGGGACTAGTAGCAGAGTTGTATTACTTGTTATGGGTAAAGAAAAGAATCCCAAAGAGTGAATCAGAGGATGAATACAGCAGCAGCAGCAGTTATGGGACTGAACTTTTTCATCTTTTATGTTGGAAGAAGCCTAATTCAGTAAACAATGTAAGCAGTCAAGAACTAAACAGCACATTGAGAAATCCGGAAATGAATGGTCAAGATCAAGATTTGGAGTTAGGCAATAGCAAAGATTTGCTACTAAAAGGGTATGGTGAAGATAGTGTGGAGTCAGAATTAATGAGGTTACACAATCTTTGTGGACCTCCAAGATTTTTATTCACAATTAAAGAGGAAACAAAAGAAGATTTGGAATCTGAAGATGGTAAATCAAGAGGTGATAGAAGTAGAACTTGTTCAAGAACTAGAAGTTTAAGTGACTTAATTCTTACTCCTTTGTCTTCACCTCCTATTAAAGGTCACAATCTTGATTCTTACAATTGCCAAGGATTCAATCCTCTCTTTGAATCTTCAACAGAATCTGAACTAAACAGATTAAGATCTTCTCCCCCTCCAAAATTTAAGTTCCTAAGAGATGCTGAGGAGAAACTTATAAGAAGATTGATTGAAGAAGCTGAGAAAAGGGGTCTTAAAAATGAGGTTTCTTTTCAAGATTCTGCAATTAATAAACCATTTGCTAATGAGGAGAAAGGGTCATTTATTTCTTTTCTTGGTAAGAGCAAATTGAGGGAGCCACTTCAGCAATTACAAGTTCACAATTCTACTTCTGTAAAGGTAATTCCATTGGCTTCTTCACCTTCAACTTACAAGCCAGTTGATAATGAATCTGATATGGTTTAAATCCCTTTCAAATTTAGATGAAGAGGTTTAAATTTCTTTATTTTTTTCACCTCTTTCCATCTATTAACCAAACGTACAGCAATTACCTCCCCTCTTGTATTAATTTTAGTTTTCAGATAGAAAATAGAGATTTGATTGTAAGTTCTCTGGATTCTTAATCTGTTTTTAGTATTTCAGTAGTCATTTGATGGTTTTTGCTTAGCTGAAAGAAAAAGACTTTCTCTTTTTACTCAACAATAGTATCTCTGAGATTTGCTGAGAATTGTTTTTTTAAGATAATAACAATGGTGTACGAATCATTTTTTTTTACATTGATTATTTCACTGGATACCATTGGTCGTAATATTTTGAATGATTTTGTCATGGCTAATGGTACATATATCCAGCAAATCAAAAGATTATTTTTTTTTTAATTTTATCCCTAGTAACTGGTGCACATGCACTCTAATTATGCCACATTATGATGTTCCAATTATTTGCCTTTGTTATGTTATTGATATATTTCAGGAGTATAGTTGATTTTGCTAGATCTATTTTTTTTTTTTTTGATACTATAATATTAGCCATGTTTTTTTAAAGATATTGTATCATATTATGTTGCATAGAGAACACCTTAACATACTACATTTGTGCATATTTGACAGTTCTACACTTTGCAGTTTTATTGGTAAATATTACTTACTACTTTAGAGTAACTATTTATCCAAAAGAAGGTAAAATAATTTGGACAGAACAAATGGCTTGCATTTCATTCTCAATTGATTCCTTATAGAAGGAAGCTCACTTTCTTTTCAGAGAACACTTACACCATTTAAAAGAGGAATTTTCTCTTGTTTATTAAAAGTGTATTTAAGGAAAACGAAGTATGCATCTGAGGTTCGTCTAGCGTTCAATAAAGTGGGTGAAAACTATAAAAGATCAGAGTTCAAATCCTAGTAGAGCGAAAAAATATTAGGCGATTTTTCTTTCATTTGCCTAAGTCTTGGTAGGTAGAATTATTCCGTACCCGTGCAGCCATGCTAATGAGAGGTAATATCCGGTAAAATAGTCAAGGTATAGACAAGCTGGTGTGAGTATCACCCTTATAAAAATGAAAGCAAAAGGAAATATATGGTGACTATTGAAAAGAGGCGCATGTGGGAAGCATAGGTAAATTTTACATTGGGTTTGCCCTAAGAATCAGTCATGTTCAAACCACAGAAAAAAGAGAAAGTCCTGAAGTTGAAAACCATTGATGTTCTGTGATCTGTCACTGGTTTTGTTGAACTTTTGCCAAAAAAACAAGAAATGTCATTGTCCTCACGAGATTTGGCCAAAAAAGTGGTCAGGTCTTGAAAACAAAGTTCAATGTCAAAATTTGTACTTATTATCTCTTTGCAGATGGAAAAGAACAAGAATTAAGGCTCAGTTCTGATCCTATTTCTTGAATGAATGGCCAAAATTCAAGAGTAGTTGTGCATCATTTTAGTTTAGGGTATATGATTTTTATTTTGAGACTAGGACTTGAATTAACAGAAGTGGTCCATTGGTGGTTGGCTATATTTTTAATAACTCTTGCCGTATTAGAATAGCAATTAAAATTGGGACCACATTCCAAACCCTTTTTGGCCCTTTCACAAGCTGCAATTTTGCTTCATTCAAATTTTGAATTCCTAATGTGTAGTGCCAAAAAAAGCTAGACAATGACATGGTTTTATCTGTTGGGATTATGACAAAAGCTTTGCTATTTTATTTCTATTACTAAATTCAATGAGCAGGATTCGTCCTTAAACTAGTATTAGAAGAGACCTGCCATAATTCTTAAGCAGATGATACCAAGCAATACAACGCATTTTCTGTTACCGAGAAATTCTCGTAGGCCAGTCGGAGCATTATTTAAAATTCGGTGGATAATGAGTTTATATTCTATCTTTTTTCTACTTAAATATAAGACTTTAACTTTTATTCATAGCTAGTTCAAACTGGTAATATGACGCCCTAGGCAAATTACACATGGGCAAAACACCAGAGAGAGAGAGAGATATACTATGTATATAAGGCATGTTTGACCAAGTTTCTAAAATCAGTTTATTTTGATAAGTGCTTTTCTTAAAAGTACTTCTCAAAAAAGTATTTTTGGTGAGAAACATTTTGTGTTTGACTAATTAATTTTAAAAATACTTTTGAGCAGTAATTATTGTTTGGTCAAGCTTTTAAAAACTATTTCTAAGTGTATTTTTCGCAAAAGTGCTTCTCAGAAAGTACTTTTGGAGAGAAACTATTTTTTTCTGTTTCTCCAAAACTACTTTTGCTTCTCCTCAAAAGCACTTTTTTTTCCTTCTAAAAGTTTGGTCGAACACCTCAATTTTTGAAAAAGAAGCACTTTTGGCTCCAAAAAAAACTTGGCTAAACAGCCTATTAGACCCTTTGTGACGGTGAGGGCCTAGGCCCAAAACAGACAATATTACTAGTGACTTTTACTGTTACAGATGATACCAAAGCTGGTTCACATGAGTTTAGATGAATTATATAATGCTACAAGCTTTAGACTTTAATGACAATATCACTAGTCACTAGGTTGTTATACGTAACTTGCACCTAACCTACGCAGTGGCGGACCCAGGATTTTGTGCAAGCGAGTTCAATCTTAGAAGTATATAAATTTAGTTGTAAAATAGTAATTGTCAAGTGGGTTCNGGGGGATGTACTTTTATATGAAGTTGTTTTAATCTTGCAAGGCAATGTTAGTGAGCTTTGCTTCAAAATTAGGCAATAGCTATTAGCTGCATTTAGGTATTTGGAGTTGGAAAGGCACAAAAATTCAAACAGTTTATGTGCGCGAATACTCATATTAAATCATAGTAGGAAAATTCAGCAGCTTAGGATTCTGTTGGCTAGTTGTACAATTTTGTTCCCACACAATTATAAGCATAGCTGCTGAAATTGAGGATGTGGTACAGATTCCAGGGAGCCCACAGCCAACACTGAACATGAAATAAAGATGAAAAACCCAAGTTGTGCATAATTCATTGCAAGAAATTGGGACCAAGTAACATGACAAACTGGAATTCTTGGATTGGCTAAAACATTGGCAATGAAATAAAGATGAAGACAAATGTCCAAGAATCTGAATGTTGCTCACGAATATATATTATAAAGCTAAAAGAGCCTTGAGAATAGAGGAATCAATCAGCAAGTAACCTTTTTCTCTGTTCAGCACAGTAAAGTTTGGAAGTGGAGCTTTGGAGCAATGCTAAAGTTGTCTCCGTGTAATCTATAATTCATAGATTTGAATTGTGGAATCAGCCAATAATAGTTGGATTAGGGTAAGGTACCTACATCACACGTTTTTGGGATGCGCCCCTTCCCTGAACTTTACGTGAACTCGGAATACTTCAGCACTGGACTGCCTTATCCAACACAGTAAAGTCTCTTATCATCATTGGTGCATTTTATATTTTAAGTCAATGAGTATGGAGTACTACTCCGTCAATTATAATTGTGAGACAGATGTTAACATAACATAAGTAGAATTTTCATAAAGTAGAGATGTCAAACGGGGCAATTTGAGTCCTACTTAGGCGGGGCAAAATCGATATATAGGTCATGACTCAACCTTCACAAAGTTTGTTTGGGTCAAGTTATATTAAAATGGATAAAATAATAGGTCATAACCAATCTATCCAACATGACTATCTCTTCTCTCTCTCTTTTCTCGCTTTTTGAGAAAATATATGTGAATTTTTTTCACAGATTTTAAATAGGGGTATCCCAACCGAATCGAAAAATCGCACAAAATCGAAAAGTCAGATCAAATAAACCCGATTAGGTTTGGCTTGATTTGATTTGGTATTGAGTAAAAAAATTCGATCCAAACCGACATATAATAATTTTTATATATACTTTTAAGACTTTATATTGAATTTTTCTTTTAAAAGATATCTAAAAATATTTGGGATCCTATCATGAGATGTAATATTTAATAGAACTATAAAGTGCATTTATTTTTATTTATTTTAAATAATAGTTGTATCGCCTTACTTATCAAGTGTTATTGAAATGCGCCAATCATCTCTCTGTTCTTCCATATTCATATGTCAAGTTTCTTATATCTTTTTCAAATTTGAAGTGGTATTTTGATAATTTAAAATTAAATAGAACATATTATTATTTAGGTATTATATTGATTTTTATGTTTAATTATTAAATTCGGTTAACCTTGAAAGCGTACATCAACAAAAAATTATTGTTAGACGACTAAGAAAATAACTATCATAGTTACTAAAAATAATTTTCATAAGAATATTTTAATAGATTATATGTTTGTTAATTTTTTAAATTTTTAAAAATATATATTCACTTATCAAAATTTTATCTATAACTTTCACAAAGTAAGATTAAAATAACATTCATGTAACAAAAAAAATCCGACAAAACCGAACCAATCCAAACCAATATAGTTGGTTTGGTTTGGTTTTGATAAAATCCAATCCAACCCGGTTTATATACACCACTAATTTTAAGTTCTTTCAAATTTATATAACTCCCAATCTAGCATTTTACTCGCATCCCTTATACTATTTATGCCTGTTCTGACCCAATAGATTGATGGAACATTTCGAGTTCAAGCCGTGGAGTCAAGCAAATAAACGAATCATAATTCATAACCCAACTTGTTTAAATTTGAGCAAATTTGACGGATTACTAAAAAATGGATTGATTTTGTTACCTCCAATTTATAATTTTCAAATTTTTGTCCATATTTGTATATAAGTCGAGGCAAAGATAATGAGTTGTCCACATGTAGCTACTGTCTATACGCTATTACCTGTTTCACCAAGCTTTTTTTTTTTTTTTTTTTTTTTTTTTTTTTTTTTTTTTTTTTTTTTTTTTTTTTTTTTTTTTTTTTGTTTTGACAAAAGTACGTTTGGCCAAAACTATGTCTGCCACTGTCTTCATCACGGTAGAGAAATGAAGGAACAGTTGCACTTATTTTTTTAAAATAATTATTATATTTCAGC